AGGCGGATTCCGTCATGCGATGGACGTGCAGACAACACTGCTCTGCTGCTTCGGGGACAGAACAGACGTCACCCACAGCGCATTACGGTCGTTTTAGGGAACTTCTCTTGCTGGTTCTCATCCTGTGTTGTCACAATCGCTTCCTCCCGCTGTGCAAACATGCCTGGCATTTCCAGCAAAGCAGGGAAGACGTGGTCAGAGTCACTCGCTCCCTCCCTGCCCCCAGCGGGCGCAGGCAGCAGCACAGGCGCAGCCCAGAGCTGCCAACGCCGCTTTGCATTTTTCACTGTTTTTCTCTTGTTTTTCCTCTTTTTTCTTTTTTTTTTTTGAAGCACAGCACGCCAGAAACGAGGACAAATGAAGATGTAAAAAATTATATATATATTTGTATATATGATTCGTATCTATTTACAATGCAGCTGGGACCAACAGCAGAGCATCCTAGCAGGCAGCGCGGGGCTGGGCGAGGAGCTGCGCGAGGCACACTGCCTGTCCCTGCCACACTCCTCAGAGCAAAGTCCACGGCTGTAGGGCCACGGCTCCTCGCCCAGGGTCACTGATGAGCCACCTGACAGCAGATGTGTTTGAGCACAGCCTCGCTCCCTGCTCAGAGCAGCAGCATGGGAGCGCAATAAAGTGCAGCTCTGTGAGCGACCCGGCCAGGATCACATGTGAGGAAAGCTGTGCGGTGCATCATCACCCACTGCCTCCCTCCTTTGTTTTCTCCTGATCCAACACAGCTCCCCAAAACCCACACGGCCTGCTCCACCTCTACAACTGGGCTCAAAGCTGGCCTGGACTCGGTGCTGCCCTGGCACAAACCTCAGCCCCACCGAACGCCCCACACCTGGAGCTGCTTCAGCAGCACCAAGCGGGCACTGAGCGCGCCCCACTCTGCGCCCCACTCTGCTGCAGCCACCACACTGACTTCATGGTTTGCTTTTTTTCAAGCCTGAAACAAAAAGGCAAAAGAAAAAAAGGACAAAAGGAAAAAAAAAGAACCTCAAGGGGTGCATAACGTTGCCAACACACGTTTGCCTCTACAATCTCTTTCTCCTCCCTGGCGTGCCGCTGTCCTGCTGCTCTCACATCACACCCATCCCAACCAGCAGCCCTGTGCACGACCCCGGGCTCTGAGCAGGCAGCTCCATTCACAGCTGCAGGCATCCCTGGCAGAGGACAGAACAGGAGGAGAGAAACTGCCTGCAAAGCCTCCAAGGCTGCTGCCTCCATTGCAAGCCACCAACTCAACCACTTCATTAACAACTCTAACACACACACCTAACCAGACTGCAGGCCACGTATCGGCTTCTGCCACTTCCCCCTCCGCGTCTTCCCCTACAGACACCCGAAGAAAACAACACGATGAAACCACACAACTCCTCTCAGTGCTCCTCACTTCCCTCAGGGCGCTGCAGGGAGGGATGCAGCACTGCAGGGACTGCGAGCAGGGATGGTTCTGAGCACTGTGAGAGGGGAAGGCAGCAAACCTGCTCGCAAAAAGCAAACGTGCAACCGACTCCACCAAAGGTCTGCCTGCGTGGCCTGGGCTACCAGCATCTCATGTTCTTCTTGGTTGTGGTGTGTGTTTGCTACAAATACTCGTATAACTATGTGGATTCTGGTGCTCCCAGCTCTATGGTACAGTGAAGTTCAATCCAATTAACCAAAAGAAAAAAGAAAACAGGAAAAAAAAACAGCCCGTGAGCGTGGGCTACCCTGCCAGTTTGCTGGCGACGAGTGAGGATTTTCTCTGCGGGAGGTCCTGAGGTTTGGGGATGTGGTCTCCTGTCACCAGGTTCTTGTCCGGCCCCGCAGTCGGCAGCTGTTTGTTCTTCATCTTCGCCTTGGCCATGTTGTAGTCACCAGAATCAAAGTATTTTTGCTGAAAGAGAAAAAAGGAGTTCAGGTTACTCTGATGCTACCCTGGGATGGCCAAGCTGCACACAATAGGCTACAACTCACACCTTTAAGAAGCTGTGACACCCAAAACTTATCACCGAAACAACATGCAAGGGGAAAGTCCAAGGCAGCTGTAGGGCCTTTATTTAGCAGCTCCCACAACGCCCAGCACAGCTCAGGTGTCTCAGCCCAGCCAGCAGCCTCCATCCCCATCCCCTCTCCTTCCAGTACTTGAAGGGAGCTTATAAACACACGGGAGAGCGACTTCTTACGCAGGCAGGCAGGCAACAGGACAAGAGGGAATGGCTTTAAGCTAAACAAGGGGAGATTTAGGTCAGACACGAAGCAGAAATTCTTCACCTAGAGGCGGTGCAGTGCTGGCACTGCTGCCCACAGAGATGTGGGTCCCCCATGCTGGGCAGCCTGAGCTGCCCACACAGCCCACGGTAGGGGTGGAGCTGGAGGTCTCTTCCAACCCATTCTATGATTCTGTGATTCTAACAGTGACTGTGGGGCAGACGCTGCATCAGCAGCCTCCTCCAGACAGGCTCAGCTACAGCAGCACAGCTGGGGGACATTTGCTGATTTAGTTTATTCCAGTTTGGCAAACACGTGAGCTGTGGGTCAAAGGCAGGACGTCCTCCCCAGTGAGCACAGCCCAGCCCACAGCCCAGACAGACTCCTGCAGCTGAAACCAAAGTGCCAAATGCCTGCAGAGATGCAGCCCTGAGACACCTCCCAGCAATGCTGAGCTGTGGTGCGAAGGGCATTCCACTCCCTCGCCATGACTCTGTGCTGCTCTGCCCTGCTGACAGCAGAGCAAAGGGCAAAAGGACAAGCAGAGTTTGGACAACGCTCTGAGAAATGCTGCTTGAACACTGGGTGGTCCTGTGTGGAGAAAGGATTTGGACTCAGTGATCCCTGTGGGTCCCTTCCACCTCAGGATATTTGGTGACACTGTGGTGCTGCAAACAGATCTGAAGGCCCCACAAAGCCCAGCCCAGCCCTAAACCCTTTCCCGCTTGGTGTTAAATAATTAAATCCTCATTTCTGTGCTTGCTTTAGGAGCTGGTACCTAAACCACCACCAGCTTTCCTGTCAGCAATGCAGCACACACAGGGACTGCTCAGACAGCTGCACCAGGACCAGCAGTATGGGGTGGCTGAGGCATTCAGCCATGCACACAAGGCTCAAAGGGATTTCTGCATCATCCTGTGCAAAGAGCCTTCAGCAGCAACCCAAGCAGCTGCAGAGGGCTCTTGGGGAAGGATTTAATTACTTTACCAGGGAGCACAGCCATAGGATTGGCTTTTTCTGTTGACTTGCTGGCATCCCGCATGCCCTCTGCACCAGCCCAGAACACAAGCAAAACACAGAGCAGAGAGAAACACCTGGACACTGCAGAAGGCTGCGGGGATCTGCACATATCTCCCCACATTTCCTTAATCCACACGCTCAACGGGATTTTGGCTCTACAGAGCTGTACAGAGAAGGGCTCAGGTGTCCCAGTGGCCACAAGCCAGCAGTGTGCCCTATGAGGGCCAGGGGGACCCTGGGTGCAACGCCCAGAGCACGGCCAGCAGGGCAGGGTGGTGCTCCTCCCCTCTGCTCTGCTCTGCTGTGGGGATGACACAATTGGAGCTCTGGGCTCAGTGCTGGGCTCCCCAGTTCCAAGCAGGCTGGGAGGTGCTGGGAGAGTCCCACATTGGGCACTGAACGTCACCTGATGGGGAATGGCTGAGAGCTCCGGGCTGCTCTCCTGGAGAAGACTGAGGGGGCTGTGAGCAGTATGAGAAAGGCGGGGGCAGGAGGACGGGGCAGTGCCAGGACAAGGAGGGCACAGGGCAGCCCCCACGGCTCTGTGATGCTGCGAGTGCTGACACGGCCCCGCTGCATGGAGAGCACGGAGCCCATAAGGAGCGATAAGTACCCCTTTCTGCAGCCTCTTCATGAGGAAGTCGGAGCCGCCGGGCTTCTGGCCCAGGTTGGGGTATTTGGCCTTCAGCTTCGCCTCCTCGGCCCGCTCCGGGATGACGGTTTCCTTTTCCTGCGAATCCTGAAAGACAGCGGTGGATGTAAAAGCTTCGGCCCCACGGCAGACCAAACGACCGAGGGGACCGATGTCCCTCAGCGCCCACACGCAGCCCGAAGGAGCGCACCGGGCGCTGCGGGTAACCGGCCCACACGGAGCCCCGCAACCCCAGAGTCCCACAAGCCTCTCCCGGAAGTCCCGCCTCCGCGCCAGCACCGCAGCCAATGAGAGGCTGGAACAACGGCGGCAGAAGCCAACCGGTGCGCGGGGCAAGGAAGAGTGGCGCGCTGCAGAGCCAACGGGAAGCGGGAGGGCCCGCCACGCTATTCCTCACCTGTTTCTCCTGCCCGGAGTCCTCCGCGCGGGCACCGATACCCAACTGGGCGGCCATGGCGGGGTGTGGCGGCCTTGGGGCTCCGCGCTGCCTCCACGCTCACTGCGCGCCGTTCGGCCCTGCGCTCTGCTCCAAAATGGCCGCCACCGCCCCCTGACGCCCCGGCTTGGTGACGGACAGGCACGTGCCCAATGGGCGCAGTGAGGAAGCCGTGGTGACGTCACGCACGACCAATGAGAGCCCGCAGGGGGCGGGGAAAAAGGCCGGGCTTGGCCACTCTGCGTGGTGCTGTCGGAACCAATGGGAAGTGAGAAAGCAAGGGAACGTGTGAGCTACTGAGCTTGATGGACAGTGAGAAGAACCAATAGGCAGAGAGGTCCGGGAAGAGGGGCGTGGTCACAGTCTGGGCGCTGGGACTGCTCTGGAAGCGGGCGCCCTCTGGTGGGCAGAAGGAGCACAGCAGAACCCGTAGCGCCCTTTACTCCCAGCGCCCCCCAGGTCCTCACCCCCACCCCACACCGTGGCAGCCCCACAATGCTCTCAAAGCGCCGCGAGGCCCAGTGCTGGCGCTGCCCCCGCTTCTCCCACCCCCAAATCCACGCAAAATAGGAGCTGAGCCACCATGGAGGCAGAGCACAGAGGAAACTGCTGCAGGATGCAAAGGAACACGATCACGCTGCCCAGGAGGGGAAGTGGGGGCGAAGAACAAGAAAAAAAAAAACCACAAAACAGTAATAAAAAAAATAGTGTAAACTTCTCCCTTCCTCTCTGACACAGAGACCCTCGAGCTCCCCTCAGCACTTGCAGCCACAAAGGCACCAGGTTCCAATTCCAACACAGCGGGGTGGAGGAGGAGGCTCTGCATGCAGCCCCCAAGGGGCGCACGGCCCTTCCCAGGGGAGCAGCTCCACGCGTGGACCCACAGCCCTCAGCCACCTCTCGTGGGCCCACCGTAGGATTTAGGCCCTGTTAAAGGCCGCCAGCACAGCCCAGATCACCTCTGTCCCTCTGCCCTGGGCCGCCTCAAGCTCCGCATCGGCCTCCAGCACATCCTTGGCTCTGCTCATGGCCATCTCATACTGGGTGTCCTCCAGGCTGCCCAAAGCCTTCTCCAGCACATCCGAGGTGTGGGCCAGCACCAGCAGCGCCAGCAGCCTGCGGTCCATGCGGCGCAGGTCCCCCGTCCAGCGCTCCAACACGCTGCCCTGCAGCTTCCTCAGCAGGCGTTGCTTCTCAGTGGTGTCACAGACGGGGTGGGTGGTCATGTCGAAGAGCAGGAAGCTCTGCTTCCCCGTGGTGAGGATCCCCTTCTCCACCAGGCCCTTGGCCACACGCTCACGCACGTTCCGCAGCTGATACTGCAGCTTGAAGGGGTTCCAGGTCTCGCCTGGGGAGAATCACGGAACCATGGGATCACAACAGAGTTGGGGTGGAATGGATAAGCAGAATGGCTTTAAGCTAAAAGAGGGGAGATTTAGGTCAGATGTGAGGTGGAAATTCAACCCAGAGCAGTGTGGGTGCCCCAGCCCTGGAGGTGCTCAGGGCCAAGCATCCGTGCTCACGGCAGGGGAAGGGACTGCACTGTCTGCAAGGCACTTTCCAACCCAAGCCCTTCCAGGAATCTGCTCTTTTTTTCCCCCCTGGACCAACCTGTGAGCAGCTCTATCCAGGTCTGCACCGTTTCCATGGACTCAGAGGCTTTGATGTGCCGGAGGGTCTCATCCAGGAGGACATCACCGGTGGGAGCAGCCGACTTCAGCAGCACCTGTGAGAACCAACCAGAAACTGTAAGGCCCAGATGTGGGCAGACACATGAGATGTGCCACAAATGGGGCATCGGTGGGCAAACCCATGAGCCAAAGCCATCCAGCACAGCACAGCATCACGGGGAAGCAACCCCGGGGGGCACACAATAGCTGGGACTCATTAAACCACCCCCCTGAGCCCCACTGCCATCACCTTCCTGTCCAGCAGCTGTTTCTTCCTGGCTGTGAGTGGCTCCAGATGGATGCGGCCCCGCAGTGCCAGCTCGATGAGGATGCCGCCGCGCAGACCAGGGGACAGGCAGTCATTCCAGAAGGATGGGTAGCCCTGCAAGCAAGGGGACAGGCAGGGAGCTGGGGACAGGAGGGACGGGAGCCGGTCCTCCCCGATGCTGAACGCCCAACATCCAGCCAAGAACATTTTCACTCCTCGGAGCCCCTGTCACAGTGTGAGCAGTGCAAGCCAATGCCATCCTGCCCTGTAGCATCCACAGTGCTGCCCTCAGGAGCAGGCAGTGACTCCTCTCTCCTCCACGCTGTTCAGTTCCCCACTATGTCTGTTTGCACAGCGCTATAAACACTGCGTTGTTCAGCTCGCGTAGCTGAGAGAACCATAAAGTAGAGATTTTAACTTTATTTGCTTTCTTCACTTCCTGGTGAGTAGAGACAAAGCAACTCTTTATGCTTGCACAATATGCCCCGCTTCCTTCCATCACGGCAGATGCAACGGATTTGTTTTGTTTTTTAGCAGGTGGAGTTAAGGAATAAATTTCCCAAGGAGAAAGGGTACAGATGTCACCAATTTAATTTGTTGGGTATTCCCACCCTGAATTTTAGGGGTAAGTTGAAAGCTCATGTCAGAATCATGACAGCTTGGTGCTTACGAGAATGAAACTGCATTGGATTTGCCCAAAATTGTCTGTTTTTTTCACCAGTCCAGCCATGAGCCCACAGGAGAGCTGGGGCAGCGCAGGGCCATGGAGCCCAGCTGGCTGCCAGGTTTCTGCTGCCCCATGGAGGAATGTGGAAGGACAGGAAGGGGGGAAAAAAAAACCACCAAAACCAAAGCAAGCATGTGAAAAATCTTTTTTTTCCTTATCTATTGTGCTCGCTTAATTTCCTGCTGGCCAAAGATCCATTCCCAGGAACACATTAACCACACAGAGAATGTTTAACGTAGCCCAGGGAGAATGTAAACTGCACCACACTCCCATGCGGCTCTCAAATATTTGCTCCAAGGTTCCTGCACAGCATTCTGCTCTCCTGTGCCTCCTGCTCAGCCCATGAGCCCTATTCTTACCCCGGATCCCCAGGCAGGGCAACCACCAGCCCATAGCTGCAGGCTGGGAGCACAAGGCGAATGGTCTGAGCTGGGCATTGTGCAGAGAAAACAACTGCAAAGCTCCCCCAGAGTAAATGCTCTGCAAACAGCAACACCACAACCGTGCACAGCCACTGTGGCTTCCCACCCCCCCCAGGGCAGAGCTGCTGCTGGGCAGTGCTTGCATGCAACCCTCAGCTGCCCCACCGAGCCCCACAGCTCCCTCTGAGCCACTGGTGGGGGGTGTTTGGGGGTTGTTTGAGCTGGGGAGGACTCGGGGTTAGAACTCAAACAAGCTTTCAGCCGCTGGAGCATCGCTCACCTCCTTGTCCTGCAGCCCCAGGAGCAGCACCTCCTCCATCAGCGTGAGGCGGGGGGCTTTGGAGTTGTCAGAGTCATCGTCAGGCAGCTCCCTGTCCGCAGCCGCGTCCTGCTCAGGCTCAGTCCTTTTGTCCCCACGCCATCCCCGACGTGTGAGCGTCGTCATCCCCACCTGGGGATAAAGAACAGAGGCGCCGAGAGCGAGGGGTACGGCAACAGCCCGACTCGGAGCATGGCCTCAGGGAGGACAGGGGCTCTCTGCCCCTCTTACCCGGAGCTCTCAGCTCACCTGGCCCTGGGAGCGGCCGCTGCCGCGCGGTGACGTGTTGATTCAGATGACTGCACCTCCAGGAAGGGAACCAGGAATCGCAGCCACCACGGGGACGTCCTGCCCTGAGGGCTTCCGGGCTGAGAGGGCTCCAGGGCCTGGGTCGGGTTTTGCACACCTGGAGCTGCTGCCAACCCTTGACGCTCACAGCGCTGCAGAGCCCACAGCGCCATCCCTCGCCTGCAGCACCACCGCTCAGCACAGAGCAGCACCGCCTTTTTTTGGCCCTCTTTGCTCTCACCATCCCAGATGAGGTCGGAGACAAGAACGTAAACTCCACTGACCGCCCACAACAGTCCCCGTGTTTTATTAACGGCCCCAAACGCGCTCAAAGCATAAAAGAAAGACAGCAACCAACTGCTGAAGAACAGTGTTTTAATACGATCAAACAGGACAAATTCAAACGTGTCAAGAAACGTTCAGCTACCCAGACCAAGAGAGAGCAGCAGCTCTGAGCAACAGGCAGCATCTCTACAGCACATCCAAAGCCAACCATCGCTTTGGTGGAATAAAAGTGGCACCTCCTCCAACTCTTGCAATTAATCATTCCACCTGAACACACGAATCAACACACCCAAACTGAAACAGTTTCTTTTTTAAATCATCTCACGCCATTCTAACAAACAGCTGCCAACAATTAATGGTACGCAAGCAGCCATCCAGCTGCCTGCACTTGGCATGGGATATGTAATTAATGGGATGAAGAGTGACTATACTTTGGTCTGGAGGAAATGCAAAGAATCAGAGACCTCTAACAGTTCCAGCTCTGCTCTTTTTTCACAAGAAAAACAAAAACTTTAACACCAGGAAGCTGATCAGAATTGCAGCAGCATTCTGTGAGCGTTTCTTGACAGGGATGCAACCCCCCATAGAAACTCACTGCTCATTTCTCCATCTGGGCTTCTTGATAAACTTCCTCTCCTTAAATCCACCCATAGCACAGGAAACCCCCCAAAGGAATTTCAGTATTAACATTCACGTTAAACACAAGGAGGAAGCAGTGGAGGAGCACCCTGCGAGGCAGACAGCAGGGGACGGGCGTCTAGAACTGCTCCTTCGGCTCGCTCATCTTCCTCCTTTTTGGCAGCACATCCTGACTGGAGGAGGGCTCAGCCTGGTGAATCTGCAACAGAACAGGGCCTGCGTTACAGCGCCGTCACGGAACTGAGCACGGGGAGAAGCACCGAGCGCTGGGGGCGGGGGACCCAACGCTGCCTCCCTCCCAAGGGCAGATTGCAGCACAGACGCCGCTGCTCCACCTGCAGGCGCAGCGGAACCCGGCTCCCTCCCAGCAGTGCGTCGAGGCGGCAGGGAGCTTCGCTAAGTCTATTCAAATATCAAATCAATCCTAATGAGCTTTGCCTCAACCTGTGCTCAGCTTTCAGCTCTTTGGATCAGACTTGGTTTGACGCTAAGGATCAGAACGTGCTGATGTCCATCAGTCAAGGCAATGAGAATCCATTATTTCAGCATAAAGTGTGGCAAAGCCGACAGCTTTATTCACTGGAGCAGAAAACATCTCAAAGAAGTAAAGAAAAGCTGACACTCACAATGTAGGCTTGGAATAACTTCCCACTCCTCGTCCTGCTTTCTGACACATTAAGTTCAGAGGTCTTCCTGGCCAGATGATCAACCTAAAGAAAACAATCTGAAAATAAATGCTGCAAAGCATTTCCTAAAGCACTCAGGTACCTGGGGCTGTTCTGCCTTAAGGACCTTCAGCACCTGCGTCTGAAGTCATCCTCCACATTTAAATGAGGTTTTCCCATTTTCACCTTTCATACCTGAGGATTGGAGACGTACTGATTTCTGTTCTCCTTCAAAACTTCATCCCTTCCACAAGGAAAATCCTCCTCTGTAAGAAAGCAAAGCGAAGCACACTGTGAGCAATGCACTCCCAGCCTCACACGTCTGCAGGGCTCTGAGCTGGGGGAGGAATCGTGCACCACAGATAAAGAATGGGTGCTTCCTCCTGTTTCCAATCCATGCAGTTTTCCCTACAATCCACAGATCAGCACCGTGCTGCTCTTCAGCCATGCTAAACGAGCCAAGGATTGCAGGATGACAGCAGCATTATTTCAGACAGCTTTGTAAACCTCTTGTATTGAAATAAAACACAAGTTTTACCTTGAGCTTCCAAAGCATCTGCACGATCACCATCTCCTGCTTTGTTATCCAACGGGGGATCTTCCTGGAATGAGAAAGGGGCCCAATTACTGCAGACAGAAGCAGAGAGCTCCTGCTCACAGCAGTCAGATCTCCTTAGATGGATTCTAAGTGAAGCAACACGTATTTATAAAGTTATTGAATCTGATACAGGATGTGCAGCCCAGCTCAGTGTTACTTCCCCATCAACGCAAGCAGGCAGAGATGGAACTCAGTCACTGAAAAACATCCGTCTGAAATGACTGCAATCCTAGAGAAAAACTTTGAGCACGTAACGTCTTCCTTAGAGTGCCACAGAAACACTGCATTCCTTGTTCATAATGCCACACTAACAGATGCAGCAGAATTAATGGCCCCTTTCTACCACACAGATCGAAAACAGTTCCGAAAGCTGCAGCAGCACTCGAGTTCTCACCTTGATGTGCTGGCTTTCTTCTGCTTCATCTCCATCCACTGTGAGCACCCGCAGGGGCAGACTGGGCTCTTTTTGCTTCAGAATGCTTTCATCGCAGTTTTCTACTCTCTGTTTGTCAGTTGTGACTTTCACTTTCAGCATGTGGAACGGCGTTGGCACCTCACCCATGTTCAGGTACATGGGCTCTCCCTCGAATATCATCCCCTCACATTCGCTCTCCTTGAAGCCAGGGGGCTGATAATCAGGTGGTGTAACTGCAGGAGAAAAGCAGCTCAGCTTATGGGGTTAAGAGACTTTTCTGCCTTCAATACAAAGCTGTTAAAAACGCATGTGGGAGGAAAGGAATTACTAATTTTCCACTCGTACTAAATGAAGTTCTTTCCCTCTACAACAACCGTTTGAAACAGTTCACGCAGGCAAGCAGATGAGCTAGAAACTCCTCTAAAAAGCAGCAGCTGCTGCCAGACGTTTAGAGGGCAGCACCAACTGGCACAGCACTTCCTAATGCACTCAGAACAACCCAGCTTGTCCTTAAAACTCCCACTGCAACCAAGTCAGCTGTAAGGCCGTATTCCTGCTGGGAGATCAGATCAGCACCCCCTGCACTTTAGAAACCGTCCTGAGAAATAACCAAGCCCCAGCAAATGTAAAGATTACACATGAAATTCTTTCTTTTAATCGCTCTCAAGGATCTCGGCACAGCAGATCAGTCGAAGCGATGGGGAAACACCACCTTCATCATAGTAGAAGAGCTTCATTGTCAGGCAGACGTCGTTTGGGAGCGGGCCCAGGTTCTGCATCAGAACGTAGATCTTGCGGATGAGGAGGATGCTCGCCTTCTTGGTGTCTGCACAGCTGATGGCAGAATCGCTCTGTTTGTTCTTACTGCAAACAGAGAACACTCAGCTTTCATACAGACTGAAGTTCTGCTGTTTTAAGACACGCAACTGCAGGCTGCGTGAGTTTAAATGCTGAAATGATTCACTGTGTTTTAAAACTAAGGCTAAATAATGGACCACACTGATCTAGAATTACAGACAGAGCAAAGAACTCCTGGGCAGGGCAGGCTGGCAGTACCTGCTGAGGTTCAGGACTGGCCCGTTGGGGGTGTACTTGAATTTGAAGTGGTAACATTCTGTAATTGTCTGCAAACAAATGCAGTAATTATTAAATTATCAGTTGTCAAGGAAGCCAATAATGCTGCTGCTTCCATCCAGTCCCCGACTGACCTTTATTTAAATCACAGTCCTTAACTCTTGTCCAATGCATTTGAAACACTGCATTTGAATCCTTACCAGATTTAACACGCACAAAGTCACCAAGGCTCAACGAAGCTGAGCCAGGGGCTGCCAGGATGAATTCACGTGAAAGAAACTCCAAGATTTAGTCTGGAGTTTTCTATCCAAACATTCCTGCTCTGCCAGATTTACCTGAGGATCATCCGGGTGGGTGTAGACCTGGAGGTTTGAAAGGAAGGGCAGGGGACAGATTAAGACCCACACACACATCCGAGCACCAGCCTTTAGACACAAGGGCTTTACTCTTCTACCACTTACCGCCAGGACGACCATTCTCAGCTGTGAGAAGCAAAAAGAACAACGTCAGATGTGCTCAGCCCACTTCTGCTGTTCTGTTTCTTCAGCTCTCAAAACCAACTACGACCACTCCAGGCCTACTCAAAGCAATCAAGCTCTTCATACGTTCAGCTCATCTCTTTGAGAAAGGATTTGCTTATGTGGCCTCCAGAGATCGAGCACACAACAAACAGTACCCTGAACTCCCACACTTTAGCTGTTTAAGTGCATCAAAGAACAGCTTTCCTGTAACCAGAGACTCCCCTGGCTGCAGTGGCAAGCAGTGGAATCACATACACGAATATTTAAATGCACTTCAAATAGCTGAATAACACTGGAAGACTTACGTATTTCTTCTGCAAGGCATCGTAGCATCCCAACATCCTGCAAAAAGCAAACATTGCCCAGCTAGTCCTGATTCCTATTAGCTTCACCTCTAAGGACAGCCTGCAAATGCACCTCTTCCTTACGGTTCTTTTGAATACATTCAACCCTCAGGAATTCTCTGTGGTGTGTACACGATGCAGTCCTGTGCCTGCAACCATCATGTGTTCACAGCACTGTTTCTGATGCCTGACTGTGTGTTATGACGGATAAAAGCATGACAAGAACTTAGCCACAACCAGATAGTGAAGATCGGGCACTAAGAACACGAGCTGGGCACTTGCTTGCTTCCACAAGGTGAAGCTTTCCTTACAGTTGCTAACTAGAGAGCTACCTTTCAGAATTCACGCACTGTAACTGCTGTGTGAGTGTGTGGTCAACGTACCATTTCACCAGCTGAGTCGAGCCGGGGCAGTTTTTGTCTTCCCTTAAGATTTTGACACAGAGATCTCAAAAGAAAATGAAAAAGCCATCTTTAAGGACAAAAACCAACAACACTGGAAGCGAAGCTCGTTCTCCAGGCACTCTGTTAAGCATAGATTAAAGTGCAAATGCCCTTATTGCTCTATCAGCATCACTGCTATCTTTAGTAACATTCAGTAACGACCGTACAGTAAAGTTTCAGTGTGGTCATAGGAAATAGCTACTGCCTTCAATTAAATGAATG